TTTACACTGCTGTGGGCTCATAAATGAATTGCCATTTACTGAAAGCATTATTTTATGAGTGAATGGAACTCGTGATTTCCTGTAATAGCCAAGTGCAGCAATGGAAGGCTCTGACTTTTATCAACTCAGTTGCTGCTGACCCTGAGTGGGAGGCAGCAGAGCCTTGGTGTGGCACTGCAGTGCCCAGAAATGCCACCTCATCTCTCATTCTCTCCCCAAACACACAGGGCAGGCCCTTCAGCCTGGCTAGCAATGCCAATCTTTCTTAATAGCGAATAATTTTTTTTTTAAATTTAAGGTAAATACAGACCAGTTGTGCTGTTGCTGTGCCATAATGTTAGTCAGAATATCATTCCATCAATTCAATAATTCATGTTGGGCTCAGACAAATTCAATTCATCGTTATTTCCGTGCCAGGTGATTTCGTGGTGCTGGTTAAAACCTCTCACATCAGAGCTGTGCTTGGACCCTCACAGAGATCTGTTATTTTGTAAAAATAAACTGCAGCTCCTTTACATGGATGTGTCTATTGGGGAAGCTCAGGGACTTAGCAGCACTTTCCTGTCCTGATGTCAGTGCTCAGGAGCACCCAGAATCACAGGATACCATTATCTGCAGCTGCTTTTATTGAGAGCTCTGGGATCAGGGGTGCAGACCCAAATCTGACTCCCACATGGCTCTCAAGCTGACTGTATTTTATATTCTATCATTATATAACTTACATATTAATCATTAAACTCATATTGTTCTATTGTATACATTGACATAAGTTTCTCATGATCTTTCTTAGGCCCCTGACCACAGCTTCTCATGATTATTCTTACGATTAAATAGTAATTATATTTAATTACTAAACAACCATCACATCTAACAATTATATCATTTATCATGTACTAGCTACACAGGTGCAGTTCTAGCAAGGTACAAGGCCTACATGTACCCAGGGTATTTATTTTTTTCAGGGCATACTAAGCTTAATTTTCCTTTTAACCCTAAATCCCCATGATTTTAAAACCCTTTTACTATCACTGGTAACTCCTTTATTCTGGAGCTGCTTGGAGCTGAACTGGCTTTCTTTGGAATGGATCTGCCACTGTGTGCTCAAACTCCCCTCCAGACTGGGATGACAACCACAGCTCCCAGTGCTGGGTGTGTTTGGAACTGGTGAATGCGTTAGGCAGGTATGAGGGCAGACAACAGGAGAAATGTGCAGAAATCTCGAGGATTTGGGCGTTCTTCCAGCCCCCAGCAGAGGCAGGAGTGTGAAGGTATGCAAATAGGATTGTAAATCACCATTTGAAGAAGAGGACCTACTTACAGGAGTTTGTGAGAAGAAATAAATCCAAAAGGACCCATGGGGTTTTTTTTTCTCCTCTCACCAGAGAGAAAAATGTGTAATGAATGTCTCATGTCTGAAACACTGGGCTGGATTCATCAAAGGGAGTTAGTAATTACCAAATTGAGAGAATCATGAAGCGCTTTTCTAAATTTGAAAGGCTCATCAAGAATAGATCAGGAGCAGGCAAAATTAATAGTTATGAACTCATTTCCATAGAAATGGACTTATTAGCAAGCATGCCAGCTGCCTAAAATTATAAGGTCTTTTCCTTGTGCTTGCAGGAAATAATCTTTTTTTATAAAAGTAATTTTGACTTTTTATTTTTTATTGCTTCTCTAAACTAGAGTTTGGCAAAATCCTAAACCGGGAGAAAACTTCACTGGACAATAGAAATATTTAACTAAAAAGAGAGAAAAGATTTGCAAGGGAGAAGTGATTTATAGTCCTTGGATTCCATCAGACTCTCCCCAAGAGTGCGAACTTATTTAAGAGAAAAATGAAATAAGTCTCCAGGAAAAGCTGAAAAATCTAGATAGGATAAAGTTTGGTTTAACAGGATTTAATGGCTGATAACAGCATGAGTTACAGCCCTTGTCTTCTCTGCTTGTGGGTTTTCCCACTGGTGGCATTTTGTCTCCAGCAGGCAGCTGCAGATGGACAGTGGCCACCAAGAGCAAGGCTTTAAAAACCCTCAGAGTGATGTGCTGCACAGCCAGGAGAGACATTTAAATGCAGGTGTTGGGATGGGAATTTATCAGCTATTGAGCCGACATAAGTAAATGCTGACATTTGAGGTCTTGATTATGGTTTAATTTATCTCTGGTTTTACTTTAGCAATCTCCATCAGTTTCAGTAGAAAAAGGCAGTGGTCTCCCACGCGGTATTACAGAGGATGGTTAATAAATTGCAAGAATTATGAATGTAATACCAGTCTTTCTACCAGGAAACCTCTGTAGGATAAGAGATGCAGCAGCCAGTAGGTGAGCACTAGTCTGAACATGAAAGAAATTCACTTTTCAGGTTTTATCATGAGTTTGTTACAGTTGTAACCTGGGAAGAAGCTTAGAACAAAGAGGGTGAATTCATCCGTGGGGTGCTCGGTGTCCCAGATACCGCAGCAGCTGGCATTGCTCCAAGGCTCAGTCTCTAAAAAGGACAAAAGAAGACCATAATTTTACAGAAAATTCATTCACCTGCTGGGGAATACGAGGGCAGAAAGCTGAATCCTGCTTTGCCAAAGCTGTGCACTCAGGGGAGGCTCTGCAGGTGAAAGATGGTTCAAGGCCATCTCCTGCAGCAGAAGCCCAAGAGAGAAGTGGAGCTTTTTTTAATCAATATCCATCTGTCTGTCATGCTACATAATTGGCTACTGAGATAAAGCAGAAAACCTCTGACAGACATTTGGAGTTGGTTTTCCAAGTGGTGCTGAGGATTCTCTTTGGAACCAGGATCCAGACCTGGGAGGACAGCTTTGTTTTAATTCAGCTGTTAATGCAGCTTTGTTTTAATTCAGCTGTTAATGCAGCTTTGTTTTAATTCAGCTGTTAATGCAGCTTTGTTTTAATTTAGCTGTTAATGTAGCTTAGTTTGAATTCACCTGTTAATGCAACTTTGTTTTATTTTAGCTGTTAATGTAGTTTTGTTTGAATTCACCTGTTCATGCATCTTTATTTTAATTCGCCTGTTCATGCAGCTTTATTTGAATTCACCTGCTAATGTAGCTGCACCTGAGGAAGGTTTATGTATAAGATACAAACCCCTGTTGTGGTTTATTTCTGGATGTGTAAAAGGAAAACCAGGAAAGGAATAATTGAAGGAGTGCCAGTGAGTGGGACCCATGGAATGGATCTGTCACTGCAGACCAGCCTGACCTGGTACTGAGTTGGTGTCTCTGTACAGTTTGAAACCACTCCTGGGTGGTTTTGTGAGTGGCAACTATTGGCCTGAACAGACTGGAGTGAAATTGCAGATCTAAACACACCTTGACAGGCCCAATATGTAAATCCATAATTAATGCAAAGCTCATATCTGAATTTTAGTTCTGTGTTGTGAGCATATTAATTTTATGCAGTTTAGATAAAACAAACTGCTGGAGGTGGTACACCAAAAACAATAAAGTTCAGTTTATGTTTTTAACAGAAATGGTTTAATTACATCCCTATTATCATGTAATAAAATTTATCTTAAAAGGTTTTTGCTGGTTGTCTGGTTGGCCACACAAAAGATGCCTTAATAGTTTCTAGTTTTGCCTGGAGGTGGATATTATCTTCTGTCAGCATGGAAAATATATATCCTCCAGGCATTGAAGCATATGTTTAGGTTGTTTGTTGTCAGAAAGAAAACACGAAAATCAATAATTCCTGCTCAGATTTTTCTCCCCCTTTACAATTCTCCTTCAGAAACATATGGCAAACCCAGATCCTGCCTCTGTGCATTTGGGAAGAGGAAAAGGATGTTTTAAGTCTCTGTTGTCTGCAGCAGCAGCTAAAACTTCTGTGAGCACAGCTCCTGGAGTGGCTGCTTTGGGGAAGGACAGACAGACAGTGGGTGTACCATCGGCCTGACATACAGCAAATTCTGATTTTACCCCAAAACTTGAGCAGTATTGATAAAATCAGGTGATTTTCCATCAGAAGCAGCAGCTGGCTCTGCAGTCAGAGCCCTTCCATCCCCTCTCCGTGCTTGTGACCTCCATCAGGTCTCCACACTGCAGGGTCTGCCTGGGAGTCTGGGCGAGGAATTGCATTCTTTGTTAATATTTGTGTGTAAACTTTGTGTGATTTGTAAAACAACTCAGTTTGTGGGGAAGTTTGGATGAGCAAAGGCCTGATTTCTAAACAGATCCTGCTGTGGATGCAGTGAGTGGTGTTGGTTAAATCCTGGTGTCTGTTTGCTTCTCTGTAACACAAAACAAGATCTGTTTTTCTAAGCTGAGGATTAATTATTTATATTTACATTGCTTTGGACCTGAGGAAAGTGATAAGAGTTGTTGTTGAGAAAGGAAGCAGAAGTAATTCTTAAATTCATTTCTGAATGCTGTGCATTTACATCCATTTCTTTACTTTTAAACTTTTATTTCCAGATGAGAAATATATGATTGCCATATAATTACAAGGCTGCACCACTGACGAGGAGAATGTTGTCATGAACTGAAAAGAGGGATAATCTACCCCTCATTTATTGTCATGTATAATTTCTGCAAATCCATTTTTTCACTGAGATAAAGACTAGTTTGGGTTTGAAGGACTTTTTTTCCCTCCGCAAGGGCTCATTTCTGGTAGAACATGAGGAATGGCCAAATATTCTGTTGTTTTGCAGCATCAAAATTATAATAATGGTATATTAAACAATTTAGTAACTTCTGTGCAATGCTTTTCCAAGGGTTTGTGGCTTATTCTGTAGGTTCATTGTGATTATGGAGAATGAATGCCTGAGTTTAATGGGAAAAATTCCTTCATTTCAGGAAAACTAAAAGATGAAGTTTCACCTTAGAAAGTTCTGCTGTTACCCACGTGCAGTTTTTTTAGGTGTCTCTCAGTGTCTCAAGTCTGCATGTTGAATTTAATGGCAAATCTGATGAGTAGGAAAGAGAAACGAAAATAAATCCATTTTGCTGTCAACATCCCGGTGACGCTGTGGGGAACTCTGCCTTGTTTTCCAGAGCAAACATGACCTCCTACGAGATCCTGCAGATGGATTTTGAGATTGACAATGCCAGCAGCCTGGCGGGGGCCCAGCAGATCACCTGGCAGGTGGAATACCCACGGGACGACTCCGTCAGCGAGCTCGTGGTGTCCGAGATCTTCGTCAGCCGCACCCTCTTCGTGGGGATCGTTCCTCTTGCCATGGTAAGGATCTATTGCTGATCCATTTTCTGAATGTTTTTGTGGGAATTGCTCCTCTTGCCATGGTAAGGACCTGTTCCTCTCCCTTCTCCTGAACGTTTCTGTGGGAATTGTTCCCCTTGCCATGGTAAGGACCTGCTCCTCTCCCTTCTCCTGAACGTTTTTGTGGGAATTGTTCCTCTTGCCATGGTAAGGATCTATTGCTGATCCATTTTCTGACTGTTTTTGTGGGAATTGCTCCTCTTTCCGTGGTAAGGACCTGTTCCTGCTCCCTTTTGTGACTGTATTTATGGGAATTGTTCCTCTTGCCATTGTAAGGACCTGTTCCTGCTCCCATTTGTGACTGTTTTTATGGGAATTGTTCCTCTTGCCACTGTAAGAACCTGTTGCTACTCTCTTCTCTTGAATGTTTTTATGGGAATCATTCCTCTTGCCATGGTAAGGACCTGTTCCTCTCCCTTTTGTGACTGTTTTTATTGGAATTGTTCCTCTTGCCATGGTCTTTTCTCCTGAATGTTTTTATGGGAATTGTTTTTCTTGCCATGCTAAGGACCTATTCCTGCTCCCTTCTCCTGAATGTTTTTGTGGGAATTGTTCCCCTTGCCATGGTAAGAACTTGCTCCTGGTCCTTTCTCCTGAATGTTTTTGTGGGAATTATTCCCTTTGCCATAGCATGAACTTGCTTCTGCTCCCTTCTCCTGAATGTTTTTGTGGGAATTGTTCCCTTTGCCATGGCAAGAACTGGCTCCTGATCCCTTTTCTCAATGTTTTTGTGGGAATTGTTCCCTTTGCCATGGCAAGAACGTGCTGCTGGTCCTTTCTCCTGAATGTTTTTATGGGAATTGTTCCCCTTGCCATGGTAGGAACCTGCCCCTGCTGCCTTTTCCTGAATGTTTCTGTGGATCCTCGTTAGTATTCCAGGAATGGGAGCCTTTTTATTATAAGCTGCTTCCTATGCACCTGCTGCAAGCGATTTAAATGCAAAAAATACATTTCAATAATATTTTATTTACCTGATGTGCCGTAATGGCTCCTTGGAAACCATTTGGACCTTTTGTGAAAATCCTTTCCTGTTTTGTGGGTTATTGGCCTGGTACATGGAAATAGCTCCTCTGGAGCCATTGTCTTTTCTCTGTGAATGGGACTGCCATGCCTGTGCTCTGAGAGGAACTGGTGCCATTAGTGGGGACGTTTTCAATGAAATAAATTAGCATTGCATGTGTGGGAAACTTCATTGCTAAACCAAACAACTGGACTGTTTGCTGCTCTGCTTTTCCCCAAAAGAGCCAAATAGTCCAGCGAGCTGCAAAGGAGCAATTTAATAAAAATCTTGGTTTGAGTTGCACAGAAAGGATAAAATACTTCCTGAAGATGGAGGTGTCCAGCAGTTTAAGGTGTATGTGTGCAGAAAGCTTGAAGCTGATGATTTATTTTAAAAATGCAAATATCTCTTGGGAAAATCAGAGGCACCTTTGCCAGGAGGAGCCTTTGACCTGTTTTTGGGCCTGATGAACTTTTTAGTAGCAGAGCTTTACACACAAACAAGGATTTCAGTGGGGAAATTCGGGTGGAAAACCAGAGAAATGGCCAAAGTCTAGATGTTACAGCCCTTTCCTCAGAAACACCCACTCTTTTTTACTTGCTTCCTCATGAACATTTGCCCTTCCTTTCTGAGTTGGTCTGTGCTGATTTTCTTGCTATTACACCTATAACCACCAAATATTGGTGTTTTCCTCTGCGTGACCACTGGCATGACCAGAAGCAAGGAAAAATTTCTTTCCAGTAGGAAAGAAATAATGGAGAAATTAGCTGGGAAATCCTGCAAAACAAAAAACTTTCTTTAATTCCCAAATTATCCATTTCAATTTGAATGATCTTCCTCTAATAAATCTCAGTTTTATTTATGGCCATATTCAGTGAATTTTGCATGTCTAAATAAATAAAACTTTTGCAATAATGAGAGAAACTAAACCAGAATTTCATATCGAAGGAGAATCTCCTTTCTGTAGGTTTTCCCCAGCTCCTTGAGCTCCCAGTAATTGAAACAACCAGTCTCAGCAATTTTCTGTGGGCTGGAACACATAAAATACCTGAAGATTCATCGTCCTGTAGCTGCCAAAGTATTTTCTACTAAAAAAAGCTAAAAGGGATTGGATGGGCCTGCTTGCACAGGGGAAATAAATAAATAAATGCTAATTCCTAAAACTCCATGCAAATTATCAAATGAGCTTTTCCTTAAGTACTCTATTATTACTTAGTATTTATGTAGTGTTTTATATTTTTGGAACTCTTTGTAGACATTAATTAATCAGACCTGAATAAACTAAGCTTGATGAGAATAGAAAATTAAATGGAAATGAAGTCACTCTTATTTAGTTTTACCTGTTTCTGAATGACTTCTAAGTCCCTTAAAGGGACTTAAAGGTACTTTTAAAAACACTTAATCTTACAAAGCTCTTGCTTATTATCTCTAAAAACTATTTTGCTTAGAAAAGAGGTAGAATTTATACCTTCAAGAACAAGTGACAGCAGGGATGAGTGGCTTTGAAGGATGCAAATGCTGTTTTATCACCTAAACTCTTGTTTTGTTTAGGCTTTAATTCAGCTGGAAAAGCAGGGATGGGAGGATTACTTAGAAGCTGGGATATTTGACTGCTGGAGGTTTCTTTGGAGGGGAGTGGAAGGAATATTTAGTTTTATCTCAATTTTTTGGTCATAACCTCTTGAGAGGAAAGGTTGTTGGGAGGTTTTAGCTGTAGAAGTGGCTGCTGAGGAGGGAAGGTTGGGATCCACGCAGGTTCTGGCTGCACCATCCTCCTGTGGGCACAAAGGTGGGCCTGAGCTCCTCTGAGGACCTGCTCAGGTTCACATTCCAGAGGCAAACATCAGCCCCTCTGCTCCTGGGAGCTGCTCTCCTCTTGTTGCTGATAAACCAACGAGGCTGGAGAGGGAATAGAAACCTTGTGAGGAACCCCTGAGGGAGCTGGGGGTGCTCAGCCTGGAGAAAAGGAGATCAGGGGTGACCTTGTCACTCCTGAAAGTGGCTGTGGCCAGGGAGGGCTGGGCTCTTTCTCCAGGAGCTGGTAGAACCAGAGGACACACCCTTGAGCTGCACATTAAAAACATTTTCCTGATATCCAACCTAAATTTCCCTTGGAAATTTAGGTTGGATATCAGGAAAATGTTTTTAATGGCAAGAGTGATAAAGTTCTGGAATGGCTGCCCAAGGAGGTGGTGGAGTCACCATCCCTGGAGGGGTTTAAACAAAGCCTGGATGTGGCACTGGGTGCCAGGGTTTAGTTGAGGTGTTGGGGCTGGGTTTGAGTCGATCTTGAAGGTTTCTTCCAACCCGGTGACTGTGTGATTCTGTCAAAACATCTCTGCTCACTGATTATTCCCACATCTGGTGCCCAGATTAACACGTGCATTGTAAATGCAGGTGAACTTAATGGGAAGAAATGCTGATGTCTGACTCAATTCAGAAGGCTGAATGATTTCTTTATTATAACTATGCTAAAATACATTAATATATTATATAAAAGGAAGATACTAAAATTACATATTACTTTCTCTGACTCTAACACAACTCGTGCCCCTCTCTGAGAGCCCAGCCCCAGGTGGGTTGGATTGGCCATCAGCTCAAACAATCCTCACCAGAATCCAACCAAGCAATCACCCCAGGGAAACAATTCTCCAAACACATTCCACGTGTGAAAAGCAAGGAGCAGGAATAGAAATTGTTTTCTCTTTCATTTCTCTCTGTGCACCTCTATGAAAAATCCTGAGAGGGAGAGGAATGTGCTGCCACACACGTGGAACTCCCATCACCCAATGTAAAGGTGATCCATTCCCATCAAACACAGCAGAGGAACAGAGCAAGGTGAGGAAAGCACAGCCAGAACTCTTTTTTGTGCCTCTGTTTGTTGTGCTGCTGAATATCAGGGGGAAAATTTGCTGTTCTGTCTTCTGCTGTCACCAGTGCTGACTCGAAACACAGCAGGTGATTATTTAAAAATGCTTATGGCATTGACAAAGGATGGGAGTTGTGAATGTGGTTGGTGTCTGAGGCAGCAGAAGGTGTGTTTGAGGCGTCCAGAAGGTCCAGCAGAACATTCTAAAGTTGGATCTAAACTAGACAGCTTGATTTATCTTAATGTAAAAATGTGATATAATAATCCTGCAAAGTGGAAGTGCATGTCCTGCTAATTACAGAAACTGATAGCACAGATAAATCTGTTCTGTCCAGTGATTATATAATTCTATAATTCTCAGTTATTGCTCTTGATCTAAGCAGATATCATCTTCCATAGTTGTGGAAAGTTGCTGGTAGCAAGGTCGTCAGTGGAGCCTGACACTGCTGGGATGCAGGAAACAAACACTGCCCCAGCTTTGAGTCTGCTATCCAGGTTTCTGTCACAGACACCTGTGATTTGATTAATCTGTTATCTAACTAACAGTTGGCAAAAATATAAAAAAAAAAAAAAGAGAAAAAATTAAAATCCAGGTCTTTTAGAGAGTTTCTAGGCAACCAGGAACTTAGTTAAAGTAAAGGATAAGACATTGAAGAGATGTACCTTAACTGGTTTATACAAGAGGGCTCCAGCTGGGGCTGAAGGCTTGAGGAACAATAGATTTAATAATTAGAAAATACCTGGCACTGTCTTCTTGTCTGGGAAAATGATGGTTGGTGTGTGGCTGGCAGCCCTGCTCTTTTGGATGTCCATGCTGCAAATGGAATTGTGAGTCCCAGACTGTCACTGTTCCACAGCGTTTTTCAAATGCAACAATCAATATTTCCCCAGGGCTCTGTGCCCCTCAGCCTCAAACATTTCTCTGTTTCCTACAAGTATTTGAACTATGTCTTCAGGGAGTTTTTTTCCTCTCCCCAGAATGGCACCTATGGGTGGAATAAAGGTTTCCTGAGCTTTCAGTCACTTGCACAGATGGCTGTGCTTGCCCTGGTGAGGTTTCCTTAAAATGGGAGCTTGGATAATTGCATTTCT